TATTGAGTCGGCTGGTATCCACCACCCTGAAACTGTCCCAGCATGCAACGGCGAGCAAAATAGATAAGGTCTAGAGAGAACAACAGCAGGGGGCGACAATAACAGACTGCATCAAACAATGATGATTCGTCCGTTTGGTTTTCACCTGTTTTGGTTCAACAGAACCAGAACAGACTTTTTACTGCTCTCTGTTTGACTAATGATGAAGCCGTTGATGAAGACCACAGGTCAACTTCACTTCTGACTGTTATCGTCTCTGTGTTGCTGTCTGTTATGTAGGATTATGTATCTGTTCAGTACTTAGCTTAGGAACATTTTATTGCCAAATGAAAAATAGTACTTTTTGGAGTTGAGAACCACTGCCAGTTCCAAGTCTCTTTGGTGAGAAATCAGAAAATTAAATTGCGAACGATGTATTTAAATGAAGTTTCTTTGTAAATATCCTCCATCTGTTCGGGCGACACTTTCCAAAAATGTAATAAATAACAAAAAAGAAAGAAGTGACTTTTTAAGAAAACCAGAAACGACAGTCAAGGCTCCGTGAGACCTGTAGTTGTTACGCCAACCTGTAGGTGTCATGACGTCAACAATCAGTGACTGTAAGGAGGCCTTCAGCAGTAAGAAGATAAGTGGGAGACTTCCATCAGTCCGTTTGATGGTCAAGGAAACAAAGAGAGTGAAGTGAGTGAAGAGAGAGAGAGAGACAGAGAGAGAGAGAGAGTGGTTATTTGTCAGAGAGCCCACAAACAAACAGCAAAGGAAACTTTTGGTGTGGAACAGGAAAGTCGATACTAAGAGCCAGGAGAGGGAGCCAGTCTTAAAATCATTAATTAGATAAAGTTAGTCTTTCAAGGATGAGCAGATGTTCCATTAGAGGAAAGAAAAAAAAAAAAATCTGAACTTGGAAGTTAAAGGGAACACAATAGAAGCTGAGACTCCAGAGAAGGGACAGAACTGGACCAGGACGGTCCTAAATCTGGACATCAAGCTGTCGCTGACTGACTGAGTTGTGTCCCCAGAACTCAGGCGTCCCCTTCTGGCCACATGTTTTATTACATTCACAGCAGGAAGGACACATTTACGATACTTATATACCGCCATAAATATCCGGCTCTTGTTCTCAGTCATCTGTGCTCACATTCTAAATGCATTGGAAAACTTTCAAGCCTCTAGGGGGCGAGACACCGCCAACGTCCGGGTGTCGGTGGTTTGATATCAGAAGAGTAAACAGACACAAATTAGACTGGATGTCACTTAACGGAGCAGCAACATCCTAGTTAGTGTCAGTTCATTACAGGTGCCAGGTGAAGGAGGCCAGTTTTTAGATTTCATCAGTGAGGCCTGATGAATTTTTAAAACAGTGAGTCAGAGAGGAGCTACCGTGGAAGGTGGTCATCGCCCATTTAACGACTTCTNNNNAGGAGGGTGAGAGAGTGATGAATGTTTGTGATGTTATCTTACATGACTTTCATTTCTGGGGAGCAGCAACAGCAACAGCAACGACTTCTGAAGCTGCACTAAAAACCTGCAATATTCTCAATATCTTTGGACGCCAAGACCTGGAGTCTGAGATCAGAGATCAGTCCTGGGATTTAGAACGTGGGTTCTGTGTAACCTCTTGCTTCACTAAGAAGGAAGTATGGAGAGACAGATGACTGACATGAAGGAACAGCGTGCTGTTCACATTCAGCTCCCCGAGCGTATGAAATATTGACGACAAGTACCGTAAAATTTGTAAAATTAGAATGGATGGATGGATGGGTGGATGAATGGATGGACAGATTTAAAATTTTCTGGATGTGACTGGATGTCTTCAAACGAAGGCTTTCTCAACAGACATAAATGGAGAATTGAAATAAATGAAGTTATTGATACATTCTAAGCCGAGCTCTGTTAAGCCACTCAAATTGATGTTGAGTTTGACATGCGTTTTAAGTCTTTAGCCTGCGCTGGAACAAAGTTTGCAAAAAAAAAAAGGCAGAGTCTGACGATGAATTCTGACAGAGCCGTCGTTATAAAAACCCAGCAGCTGCGGCAGAAATGATCACCTGCTGTGAGGAAGATGAACACTGAGGAACACTTGGTGAGCACTCACTGAACGTACTGACCTAAAAACTTAAAAAAAAAAAAAAAAAAGAGAATGTAGTAGTGTGGAAAACTGCTGCCAGAACCGGAGTCTTTTACAGACGTGGCCTTGTGTAGTTTTTACACAGCAGAGAATACACAGGAGACAGAAGTACATTTGTGTGTGTGTGTGTGAGTACACTGATAGTCAGTACACACTGTACTGCGTTCTCAACTACTAGATCATGATGTATGACCTGGAGCTGTCTGCTGTGAAACATGCAGCAATTTTCACTGAAATCAATTCCACAGCATCGAGATAGACTTTTTCCAGAGCAGAAGTGAATTATGGGAAGAAAAAAAACCCCGGCTATTTCAAAGTTTTGATACCAGATCATGATTTGAGACTGAAAAGTGGAGAGGAATGAAGTATAAAGTTGTCAGCTACTACTGCTGAAGATCTCCTGCCTCCTCCAGTTCTGACTGTCAGACACCTATCACTGACTGTTAGTTGGCGTTGGGTTTCCAGCAGCATCGCAGCAGCATCGCAGCAGCATCGCAGCAGCATCGCAGCAGCATCGCAGCCCACATTGGTTACAGAAAAGAAAAAGTACACCAGATATTGTACATTTGAATGAGCCAAAGGAAAAGAGTCCAACCCCCCTCCCCCCCCCCCAACACTTTTGGCAGATGAAAGACACCATATGCTCACGTTCCAAGCTCTGCATTCATGTCGAGAATACTGTGAATTATTTTATATCAATACTTTGACTCCAACATTAAATGAAATTGTATTTGTTTTGTTTTCCACCAGCCTTTCTTCTCAAATACGATCTAATGATTTTTTGTTTTGTTTTGTTTAGTTTTTTATGTTTATTTTACACATGGGAGCCCATTTTGAAAAACAACTGTCACCTCGTGATGTTGCGCGACTGTCGAAGTGCACGGTTCATGCATCAATTACAGCGTTCAGTCGGTGGTCTCTATCAAAACAACCCTCCCAGCGCCTGTTATTTTCATATTTCACACGTAGCCGGGCAGAAATTATAGTCTAAAACCGTCAGAGACAAATTAACTGAGGCTGTAGTTTATCTGACAACTCGTGGTGTGAGTAAACGAGATGATCGTACGTTTAAAAGTCAAATATCTCTGTTTGAGGATGAAGCAAAATCAATCTCTTCATAATGAAGAGTGGGAAAAATAATAAGAAGGTTTTACAAAAATTAAATCATTGATCCTGAAGAAGAAACAGCAGAGCAGATGTTATTTGATGAAGTAACCACCAAATAAAACATCATCATGTTTTTAATATACTTCATTTTATTGTGTGTGTTTGTGAAGTGAAGCCATTTTTTCCATTCACTCTCTCTAACCATTACTATGCCATGCGGGATGTCACAAAGAACTCTGTGTGCTGTTTACAGATATTTTTTTTTTTTTTATCACAATTTGAGAAATCTCATTTTGTCTCAAGTGTTTTCCAACTTTCTTTCTGGTATTTGTGATATCAAAGTGATATTTACTTTCCGTTCCTCTGGAGCCTGAGTCAGCAGTGCCTGTCCATAACCCAGACATTTGTTTATTCACACCACCAGGGTGTCTGATGCCACCGCGGTCTCCTGGCTGGCTGTTATTTTAGATGAAATCATGAATTTTTATCCTGACTGAGTTTCTGACTCATGGGTTGTTGGACTAGTTTGACCTGTGACTAAACTTCCCTGTCAGACCTAATTGAACAGTAATCATCTGAACAGACTTATCAACAAAAGGTCACTGACAATTAAATCACAGCCAGAAGTTGATTAAAAATGAATTCTGAAAAATAATAATAATAATAATAATGTAGAGGATGAAATGAAGTTAATATTTGGGTGAGAATTATACTTTTTAAAAATAATGCAGTCAGTTGAGTAATACTGGTCAAGGCTTCTCTCAGGTTTCTGTGGTCTATTTACTGGCACTTGTTTCAAGAGCTTTTATCTTCCACACTTCAGCTTCATTCAGTGAACACTGTGGATCACAGATTTTTTTTGGTCGTCTCGCATCACGTTTCCCAGGAGTTTAAGAATAATGTCTATTGACTTGGGTCACGAAGGTTTGTGACTTGTGACTGGGCCACTTAAGGTCACTTCACATCCTAACACACCTTACAGTACAGATCTAGTCAATGATTACATTCCTTTACGTGACGTGTTTTGTTTTTGGTGAAGGCAGATTATGTATGAAACAGTTGTACTGAATTATTGAACAGCTTTCGGAAGTTTCTGGATCAGACAAACAGCTGTTAGTAGAGAAGCGTCCACTGATGTACCAGGATCAGGCCACATGTTCAACAGCTGTGGCTGAAATGACCAATTTGACCAACTGTTACATATCTGTGTAAGGCAGTTAAATCTGAGGCAGAACGGCGATGACTGAGGCCTAAAATGTAAATCAGAAATAAGGGGGTTCCTCGATACAGCGTTTGAGCCCCTCCAGGCTCTTCAGGAACCAAATACTGTAAAATCAGGGAACAAGAGCGGGGAATTTTCTAACTC